CTTAGAAAAAAGGACATAAAATATTTGATTTATAAAAATTTGGATGAAGAATTTATTTCAATAGGAATGAAAAAGAAAAAGAAAGAAAGAAAGAAAGAAAAAAAAAGAAATCCCCAATTAAAACCAGAACTTCTGATGAGCATGGTAGATTTGTTGGGGTGGAAGCTAATATGTATGGGACTAAGACTTTGATACTGGGAATTTATGCCCCAAATGAGGACTAAGTATTGTTTTATAAATGACTTACGGAGAAATTAATAGGTTTCTCTTATGAAAATTGGTGTTTGATGGGGGATTGGAATGGAGTGAACTCCCTAGAACTGGACAGAACTGCTGAGAAAAATATTAAAATCACTCAAGGTAAATTACCAAAAGTTTTCTTTGATTTGATGGACAATTTAGGGCTGGCTGATATATGGAGACAGAAAAATGGCAATTCAAGAGAGTATACCTACTTTTCTGAAAGACACAGATCCTTTTCAAAAATAGACATGATTTGGATTTCAAAGAATTTGGCTACTAAGGTTTCTAAAGTAGAGATACTACCAAAGACTTTTCTGGATCATAATCCTGTGAGCTTGGTTTATAAAAGAAAATTTAATTGTTTTAGACAGAGACTAAACAAAATGTTGCTACAGAAAGAAGCAATAGTGGAGGATTGTAAAAAGAAACTAAAAGATTTTTTTGAAAATAATTTAGGTAAAGGCACTGATTTAAGAATGGTTTGGGATGCAAGGAAAGTTTTTATTAGAGGTTAATTTATACAACATAATAGTAAGCTTAAAAAGAAGAGTCAGGAGAAAACACAAGCTATTTTGGATGAAATAAAGAGAAAAGAAGAATTAAAGACATTTCCAGAGAAGATGTATTTCTCAACAAATTAAGTTTTTACAATGACTATTATCTATATTAACAGTAAGAGAAATGGAAATAAAAATGAATTATGTAAAGCAAAAAAACTTTGAGTTTGGAAATAAACCATGGAAGTGGCTATCATATAAATTACAAATGAAAAGATAACGATAGTGAAATTACAAGAGGGAAATACTGTATTAACGGACAATGCAGCCATACAAAAAGCATTTCATCAATATTATTCTAATTTGTATAAAGGAAGTTACATTTCTCTAGAGAAAATAGATGAATATCTAAACAAACAAAATTGACTGAGGATTACAGAGGAACAGAGACAGATTATGAATGGACCTATAACAATAAGGGAAGTTTCTGAAGCTACAAAAAGATTAAACTAGGAAAGGTGCCTAGACCAGATGGATTATCAGATTCTTATCATAAATGTTTTGAGAATGAACTTTTACAACTCTTACAAAATACGATGAACTCTATCCTACAGGGAGAAAAGCTGCCAGAGAGTAGGAAAGAGGCCAATATAGCATTAATACCCAAAGAAGTACAAGATTTGACTTTAACAAGAAACTATAGGCCGATATCATTATTGAATAATGATTATTTCACCATGATTCTAGCTGATAGACTGAAAATAATTTTGCAAGAATTTATTCATGAGGATCAATGTGCGTCTTCACTTAAAAGACAGTTAAAGGACAAAGTTAGAAGTGTGTTGGACGTATTTGGAGCAACATAATGAAAAACAAGCCAAATTGATCTTCTCAGATGTAGAGAAGGCCTCTGACAATCTGAACTGGGCTTTCAAATAAAGCTCTGTTCCTGCACAGCGCTGAGAGGTTTCCTGGGGAGGGGAAACCTCTCAGTGGTGTGCAGGAACAGAGTTCAAATCCTGAAGATTTGAGCTCTGTTCCTCCAGCCCCACAAAGGATTTCCCCTCCATCCACAGAGGGGAGGGCAAACACTTCATTGGGCTGTAGGTAGTTGAAACTGTCTGGCAGGCATACCTTTCGCTCTCAAAGAGCTGCCTGCTGGGAGACAGCTCTTTTTCTCTGTCCACTTAACAACCCAGGAGATTGCTCAATGACCGCAACCGGGAGTGCCCGGATTGCAGTCATTGAGCGAAGCAGTCATGTGGGTATTTTGCTTAACAATCGAGATTCCAGTCCCAATTGTGGTTGTTAGGCAAGGACTACCTGTATGTGCTTGTCTGAGCACCTTCCAGAAATAAAACTCATACTATTCCATTTTAAAAGCACCAAATTAAACAAAAACAGAAGTAAAATGACAGCACTGAATTCTTGTAACAGCTTTCTCTAGCTGGTGTCTTCCAAATGCATTGGAGCAACAGTCACAAAAATAGCAGGCATTGTTCCCACCTATTATTCTAAACTGCAGTCTCTACCCCAAATGAAAAGCTCATCTATGGCATCTGAATGTCTAATACTAATTAGGTCACTACAATTTCTGAAATAGAAAAAAATCTGTGCTGTCTAAAGGTTATTAAGAAAGTGTAGCTTTGAATTTTCAAATCCCACTGCCTCCCTTTCACCTACCTGTGCTGGTTTTTTAAAAGATCTACTCAGCAAAACATTTCCTGTCTACTTTATTATTCAACTTCACAACTAATATGAAATAAGCTTCAGTATCCTTAGCCAGGACTCTCAATACCAAGAGGCCCATTCAGCACCTAAACTGTTCTGTTTGCAAGGCACGACCATATCCAGCTGTTCTCCATCATGCTACTGTTATCTTGGGGCTTATTTGATTTGAGTTATGCTTTTGAGACCTTCTAGCTATTTTGGATTTCAATTACCAATTGCATTTTCTGTTCAACTTTTTGGCTTGGTTTTTACAAAATCTCTTACCATCCAGGCTGTGACAAAGTCTCCCATCCAGGTCCCCACTGCCGCTACTTTCATAAAATTTTCATTCCTGATGCCCATGAAGTCTGACACAAAGTATGCCCTGTAAATACAAGCATATATATTGTAAGTTACAGTAATTTACAGCAAAATAATAGATAATCTGGCTCTGCTGTCACCAGGAAAAAAGGGAAGTACTCCAACTCTTAACAACTGTGCTTCTGCTCTGCAGCTTAGATATTTGTTTTCTTTATTCACTGCATTTATAGCCTGTCTTTCATAATGAGTTCAAGGAGACATATAGGGAACTCTGTAATAGAGCTATGCAGCATTCAGATTCAATCTCCAAAACGTGCTTTGGATATGCAGAAGCCTGATTATAGGAATGGCTGTGTCCAACATCTTAAAGCACCTGCATCTTTTCTCATTATCCCAGGAAAGGATATGGATATTTAAGGTGCTGTAGACATTCCTACAGGCTCATTCAGGCTCCTGCACATTTCAAAGCACTTTTTGGAGACTGAATCCATCACATTGCATAGCACTATTCCATAAGTCTCCTATGCTGTCACTGACCAGACAGACACCTGTTTAGTGTTAACAAGGTGCTCTGAAACCTCACTTTTAAATTTAAGATGTACATAACCTGCCAGGGGAGGCTCTCTAGATGTTCTGGAGTTCAGCTTTCCAAATCCCATTTGTCATGATAGTTGAGGCTGGTGGGAGTCGAAGTCCAAAACATCTGGAGGATACCAGGTTGCCTATTTTTGGATTTAGAAGCTAGATACTGTCTAGTAGCTAATCCTATGTGTCTTCACTGTCACATTAGTATGAGGTCAACAGCTCAGTCGTTTTCAGATTAGGTGAAAAGGTATCCTTTTTGGCACAGAAAATAACAGAGAAGCATAATATCAAGCCACCTGGGAATATATATATTGTTTTGGCGAAGCTAATTCTGATTTGAGAAATGAATTTGGGACCTACTTTTGGGGAAAAGGATCAAGTAGATTTAGCATAACATATCTTAATAAATGATATTTTGACACCACATTCACTGAATCTAAACCCAGAACAACTGCTGGATATTTGCTTGTGCTTGTACTTTTCAACAGGGAAAATGAATTAGATAGCTGTGAGTTTCAGTAATGAAAACATGCTAGTTAATAATCAACTCCTGCAATTTTCACCCAGATAAAACCCCGCAACAGAAAAAAAAATATTGCTCCCAAATGTATCCTTCTACAGCAATTAAACATTAAATTAAATTAGTTAAATATTATTTTCCTTGCCCTGGTCTTTAAAAGAATGTAAGTTCATTCTCTAACATGCTTTCCATATCCTATGATAGCCTTATTTTTGCATCTTTCAGGATTAATGCTAAAATACCAAAACATCTGGGAGCTTGTACTCCTTTTAATAAAGGTGAACATTAAGGACAAAAGTTTTACTTAGCTGTCTCTGTGATATGATTATCTTTTTTAAAAAAAATATTGTTTTAAAATAGGAAACAGTGAATAATAAAAGTTCTTTACTGGATCTCTGAGTAAAGTAAAGTAAAGGAAGGGCTGTACACATATTCCTCCATCTGAGATTCAGGATCTATATACTAAATCAGGTATTCTAGCATAACCTCTGATCTTTCATCCGGGGAAAAGCAATCACTAAAGCCTAGCATTGCTATCTCAAGCAAATCCTTTTAACATGCAGTAAGCAAAGATATTTGAGTGAAGCCTCTTGGAATTGCTTTGTCAAGTAAACAAAGCACATTTTCTCAATATAAAAAGAAAAAAAAACCCTCTGAATTTTGGCACTTTCAATAAACCTTTATTCCTTCCTTGCCATTTCTATCTTTACTCATCCTTTATAACCCCTTGTATCTTCTCAAGGATTTTCTAGGCGCCTTGCTTCACATGGCACGAGCAGCAGAAGTTCCTTCCTTCCCTCTTACATTCCAGCATCTTTTTCTTTTTTTGTGGTCTGGGCTTGAAGTTACTTACATTCAGTCACAGATACTGTTTCTGCTGTGGCAACTCTCAGTTGCTGAAACCAACTATATTAGCAACATTCATAGAAACAAAATAGTTTACTCACTAATAGTTTATTATAACAAGCAAAGCATAATTACTTGTATATTTTCTTTAGTTATTCAAAGAACTATTAAAGAACTATTGAAACATTACTATGAACAGAACACATGAAATATGGCCAATGCTTATTAAACTCCCAGGCTGATCCTAAATTCTGTGTTTTTGCTATTAGCTTATATTTTTGTTTACGGGAAGGATGGAAGACAAATTAGATGTAACATTCCAGTAAAATACATTACTGAAATAAAAAATCATTTAAATAATTACTTTAGATCAGGGTTAAATAACATGGTACCCTCCATATATTAAAGTCTTAACTTGTATCTGCCCCAGCCAGCATAATCTGTGGGGAAGGACTGTGAAAGAGATAGTCCAACTATTTAAAGGGAGAGGTTGCCCATCCCTATTTAGATTCATAGTTCTACCAAATCTTTTAAGATATGACAGTAATAAAGACAAAGACAGTAATAAAGACAAATGGCCTTTGTGAATAATCTGCACTATGAATTAATGAAAGCAAGCAATTATTTCATTTAAATTGATAGTCAACACTGACTTGTACCCCACTGGTTGTGATGGTGAGGGAATATAAGCCATCAAACAGCATTCAGAACCAACTTCCTCCCCATATGTTTCTGTATGATTCCCAGAACTGCTAGGGATTTCTGGCAACTGTAATATGTGATATCTCTGCAGAGTTTCAAGTTACAGAAGTCTGTAGTTAAGTCTGGCCCTATTCAGATATGAATGTCCTGACACAACTACATATTTATTTATCACATTTATATCCCACTGCAATCAAAGACACTTGGCAGCTTTCAAGGTATGAAAAATTAAATAAAATATGTTAGAATTTATCTGAAAAAATAATTAAATCTGTATCTTAAATTCATAACCCAATAAATCAAACACAGCAATGACCGAAACAAAAATTAAAAAACTGAAGATGAAGAAGAGAAGATAGCATAATCATTTACTCAACTAGAATGTTCTCCAAAAGAGCTCATTTTTTAAAAATCTGTCTAAAAGTCATCAGGGAGGGCGATCTTGCTCAGTTCCCTTTATTCCCTTCCCTTCCCAGAAATGTGATGTGGGACTACAAGGACCTTTTACCTAGATGATCCAATAGGTTGGGTTTATTTATGGCTTGGCACTTGGGTAGTCTTGCAGTTCATCAAGTGTCAAGCCATAAAGTGCTTTATAGATAAAAAACAGTGCTTTAAATTGTACCTGGCAGCCAGTGCAGCATATATGTTACTAGTGTTATGCATTCCCAAAATTAGATACCAGTTAACACATGATCTGCTGCATTCTGGACAAACTATAGTTTTCAAGTAGTTTTTTAAGGCAGTCCCATGTAGAGCACATTGAAGTAGTCTAACCAGGTAGAAATGAGAGCATGAGTTACTGTAGCCAGGTTCTTCTGCTCCAGGTAAAGCTATAATTGACATCTCAGCCGAAGCTAGGTAAAGGCTCTTCTGGCCATGGCTTCCTCCTGCTGCTCAAGCAGAAGCTGTGAATCCAAAATGACTCCCAAATCACAAACCTGTTCCTGCATGGGTAGTGCAAGCCCATCCAGAGATCATACTAGGGTTAATAAAAAAACTTCAATCAACAAGCAGCAACTCTGTCTTGCTTGGTTCAACTTTAGCCTGTTCTTTCCCATCCAAACTGTTATAAGCTCCAAGAACTGGGCTAAGACATCAACAGCACCCTCCTATAGCTTGGAGTGGTGATGTAAAGCTAGACATCATTAGCAAACTGATGATATTGCACCCCAAACTGTCAGCTGACCCTTCCAGCAGCTTCAAAGAGATGGTAAAAACCAGGGGAGTGAGAACTAAGACCTGTGGCACCCTGTAAGTTAGGCCACCAGGTTGACTTACCATCCCCACTACCACCACTACAGGCTGAATTTGCCTTCTGAGGAAACAGTATCTCCAATTCCCTACCCCTGTAAGCAACAGATTAAGATACTATGGTTGCTAGTACAAAAAGCTGCTCAAAGGTCAAAAAGGACTAGGAAAAGTATATTATCTTCATCAAGGTCTTAACAAAGCTCATCCAGGAGAGTGACCAATTGTCAGGCCCAGCCCAAGAACAATGATGAAACAGTCCAGTCAAGTACAGTTCCTTGATTTGCTTACACCCTATAGACAGAATCTTGCCAAACTAAATCTATACTACAGGAACTAGGGCATATACTCTGGGAGATTCTAGAGAGTGGCTATCCTGAATCTCTTACTTTTCTCACGCTCTGCCTGTGGACTGTGTTGTCTTTTGCGTCCTTTCCCCTCCTGGAATGCTCCCCTCCTTCCTGATAGTCTTGATCTCCCACATCACTCTCCTCCTCGTAGTTACATTCCATCACACCAATGCTGTCTTGAAACCTGATTGAAACAATTCATGTAATCCACTTCTTCTATAGTGCTGAGTAATGGGGATGTAAGATGGGGCACCCCCATCTTAACAAACTCTCTGAGAAAGGGAATGTTGGAGACCAGCTGACAGTTATCTAACGCCACTGGATCCAGGGATGGCCTCTTCATAAGAGAGTGTACCACAGCATCTTTCAAGATTGTGGGCAACTCCACTTCTTGTAATGAGGCGTTGACAGTCTCCCGGATCCAGATGGTCACATTTCCGCCAGGATGAACAGGGGTCCAGACTACAGTGACAGTGCCCAGTCCAGACAACAGTTTATTCACTTTTTCCAAGTTCACAGGCCAAAAGGAGTCCCAAATAAGCAAAACAGTGCCCTAGTCATTGTTAAAGACTATGCCCTGGAGGAGTTAAGACTTAGATGAATCTGAGTTTGTCCACAACATGCTTTGCAAATTGGTCAGACTAAAAGAGCTCAATCTGACAATCAACGCTAACAGCTATAATTATAATATGTAAAAGCAAATTAGTATTTAAATCCTAGTTTTCAAAATGATATTAACATTTGTTTATAATCACTGGCTGTGAGCTATTAGGCAGATTTAAGAGATTAAAAATACCAATGAAGTCCTTA